CGCGGTGGCAGGCTTGCCGAGCACGAAATGAAGGGGGGGTCGCATCTCACCATTCAACTAAGCATGCATGTGCTCGGTTGAATGCTCGGTAGCGTGCGAGTTTACCCCTATCAGGATGTTTGTTTGCATATCCCCCCAAGCGAGAGGGCTTGCACCTATGCTGATGTTCGTTCCAAGAAGTGAACTGAGGACTGATGCTACGGTGAAAGATTTGCACGTAAATTCGCCCGTGCAATAAAACGCCCTGTAACTCGCTTACGCTAATCTCACATTCCAATATACCACTGCACTGCTTAACTATCCAGCCTGGGCACAATCTATTACGCGCAAACGTACTTGGGCAACTTACAATCCAACACCATACGTGCTTTGGAAACGCGGCCAGCTGCTTCACAAGGACCCCCCTATTTTGGGTTCGCCATATTTAAGCAGCCCCTCGCACAAATGTGTCCGGTCGTACTGTGCCGAATAAAACATCCGTACATATCGCCCCAAAAGTCAGGAGCGAATTTTACCGCGCAGATGCGCGCGTGCGATTCTCAAAATGCGCCTGTAAAAGTGTATGTAATTTTTTCGGCGAAAGGCCGCTCATCAGGGCATGTTGGCCGCAGTCACAAGCGGTATGCATCTCGGACTTTTGGCTGGCTGCTTAGCCTGAGCTGAATAAGATATGAAAAGATATGAAAGCATACAACGTAGCTTGCAAGGCTGGGCGCTTGAAACGGCTGCGGGAAGAGGAAGCGTTCAGGACATCAGACAGCAAGAAGCACAACACCTGCTGGTAAACCACCGAGAATATCTTCAGTTGGGGACGTGTAGCTTTAGCCGGCGGGGTCGACCATCATACGCTTTGCGCACCGCCAATCCTGCTCTGGCCCAAAGGATGGAGGCCCTCTACATCGCGCAGTTCAAGGCCCGGGGGCCGGGCGGCTACAATGTGCTGCGCGGGCCGCCTTCCGCCAGCCCGGCCTTCTACGCGATGAGCCGGCAACGCGCCGGCAGCGCCCACACGCCCACCGCCGTGACAGTCCAAGACGATGACGCCCCAGCCACGCTCGCCTAGCCCACACAGCAACTGGACACCTAACGCTTGACGGACAGGGTCCCACGATTTCGGCGCTAGGCTTCTGGACATTGGGCAGTGCTGTTGTATTTGGGCACGATCACACTTGGGGTTTCATTCACGGTGCATACATGTCGGACTTAACTCGTGTGTGAACGGCGGCTGCGGCCCATACGGACAGCAGCGCTTGGGATGGTCTATTGCGTGAGCGTTGGGGGAAAGGGGGGGGCCCGCTGCACTCCTTTCTATGTCCGCTCGTCGCGTGCTCGGGGGCAAGTTGGTTGCGAGTTCACCCATCATGTTGCCTGTTCTGGCATGGCCATCCACGCGCAACAGGAAACTTGAACCTAGGCCTTATTCTTCGTTCCTACATCATAGCAAAGGACCGACGCAACGTGGCCTGTGCACGCGCTGTTCCTGTGGTGCTGTTCTTGTTCTTCTGGTTGTTGTTCCTGTTGTTCTTGCATACACGCGTGCGACGACATGACTGCATGTACATTGTGCCGTGCGCCAAGTGCCCTGGAACCAGCTTCTACTCATCTACATTCCATTATGCCACTGCACTTGCCTCTCCAGCCTGGCCCCATTCTGCAACTTACTATCCAACACCATACGGGCTTTAGAAACGCGGGCAGCTGCTTCACAAGGACCCCCCTATTTATGCTTCAACTTGAACACAGATGATTGTTTGATGTATGCACGTCCCATATAGCCTAAAGTGAAGTTAACCACTTAGCCAGCACACCTAAATCGTGTACACAGCATACCACACACGTCCATATATTCCTACATACATCGACAGTGGTAAGGTACTTCAGTACGCAAGGTACCCAAGCCACCGCAAATAACGACAGTGAGACGGTACTGGCCTTGCTTATCGTGCTTCTCACGAGGCTTCCGTATCACAACAATTTATCAAAGTTTGCATTATTTGCGCCTGGAGTGCCGGACGCAGCCACGATATTGATGTGGCCCAGCGCAAGCTGCAACATGCCCTCGTCCCTCCCCAAACGACACATCCACACACGCACTTGTCATGTTCGCACTTGCAGCTCAAAATGCCGAACAGCACGGACGCAAGGTTGCTTCCCCGCCGACAAGCATTAAGGACGCTTGCAAGTCTGGCGGTCAAAACCACAGGACACAGCCACTGACCATGACCGAAAGAGCAGCCCCAGCTACCAATCACAGCAACATGCAAGCCAACCCCCGCCTGCACCGCAGAGCGGCACTGAGACAGGAGCGGAACGGCCCCCCGAAGCCGTCCGCGCTCTTCACCACCACTTCGATGACACGATGTACGACGTACGACGTGCCTTCAACGACTGCTGTTTTTAGTTTATATATGTCATTGCCATGTCGAATGCGTGCAGATTGCAAACGCAACTCCGTACAGGCCAATAAACGAACGCGTCTAGAGTGCTCCAGGAATGGACCCCCTAAAACTCTGCCCATCATCTCTTAAGGCGCAGTGCAGCTCCATTATACATGGTCTTTCTTGGCAATGCATCGTGACACACATGCACACACATACAGACACACACACACACACACACACACAAGGAAGACGTACATAAACGTACACCCGCACAATACATACGGATTCGGCATCCCCGGAGTCACCGCCGCGAATGCACTAGACACCCACAAGCCCTGCACAAGATAAATGGTGCCAAGGACCGCATCGGCATTCAGTTCCACAGGGCAGCTCTCAGCATACCAAACCCAATGCATCACCATCATCGTCATCACTATCACCATCACCAGCATCGCCAGCATCATCACCAGCATCATCACATCGCCCCCCCCCGAAGTTCCCCAGCCACCCCAATCTGGAAGCGTAGGCCCCGGATGCACCGTGCAATCGGCATGGGTCGGCTTGTACTTGCCTCGGAAGCGTAGACATAGGAACAAACCGCAACAGGGCACCTTCTGCACGACCCGACCGGGCGAACGACAACAACAACAACAGCAGCAGCAGCAGCTCGGCCAAGAGCCTCATGCGCATGGAATCCGTTATGCCACAGGCGGCCACGCTAGCGGCGGCATCTCTGTTTCCCCGGGAACCGCACATGGAAGAACGGATTGTAAGAATTGAAATACCTCTTAGCACATTAAAAAACGAACCCTGCCGCTCTAGTTTCCCAGAGGCAAGGTACCTTGGAATGCTAGTGCCGCTACATGCATGACGGTAACCACATGCATTTTCCCTCCCCCAGTTTACGACGAAGCATAACGCTGAAGAAGTACCCGGAAACACAATCCCGCTTGTCCAGCCAACGTGTGTTAAACAAAGGGCACCAGGTCAGAGGTTCGTCGAGCCACGCACCCTCGGAAAAGACCCGGCCATGGCGGGGAGCCACACACACATTATCCCGGTCTGCTTTACTGCGAAGTACGTCTGCACATCCCAACACACGCCAGCTACGGTGTTAGGCGATATCTGGGGGTGATAATATGACGTGTATGTAACATGCGCCGTGCTTTAGCGGCGCCGCCACGTTTACCCTCGTTCCAGCTGGATGCTCCAAGCCATCAATCACACCTTCCACGCCCCCACCTTGGCCGCTCCTCACCGCCATCCTGGCTGGCACCCGGGCAAAGATATAATGCCCTGGCACAATTCCACTAGGATTACTTGGTAGGGAAGGGAATGCACGGTCCGCTACGATATGCATATATATGTGTGTGTGGATATGTAAGCACAGGATACGCGGCCGTCTCAGTGATGTGTTGTCGCCAGAGCACGGAACTACAAGCGGCCAAACGCCGCCACGCTAATCGTCAAAGTAACGAAACGAAGTTAAAAGGAAAAGGACCGGCAACTTTGGAAAAACGAACTTTGAAACCGACATCGCACAAGCTAAACATTGTGCGTACATTTTCCCCCCCGACACACGGTTATGTAACGGCCTCGCTTCCGTTCCACATTAGTTCTCAAGTAACCGTTTTGTTGGCTTTGGACGCCGGCGAAATACCGACAATTCAGGGGCTTGGATGTGCGTAAGCAGGCAGGCAGGTAGGTAGGCGAGGTGTGCGCGCGCAAATGTGATACGTGTGGTTGTGCAGACGCCGCATTGTGCCCCTGTAACGCTGGAGGCCACGGAGGCCGCGCAGCGCGACGAGGAGACACGTCCTGCGCAGGGATGCCAGCCCTCCTCGCAAACGACAAGCTCACAGCACCTGCAGCGCAACTAGCTGGAAATGAAGAGGGACCCGCCACCCTAGGACCCATCCATCGTTATCGTCACCATCACCATCTGCCATCGCAATCCATATCCTTCAGCCCAACCAGGCGGTCCAACTATACGATGGAAAATAAGCCAGAGCTCGCATCCATCATCCGTGACTGTTACCAGCTGAAGCCCTGCCCCGATGCAAAATCGACGTGCTCCAACGTCACCCTTTAGAGAGTGCACACACACACACACACCACATCACTAGTCTGCGCTGCGGCGGGCCACCGACCGCTAGCTTGACACACAGCCACGTCTCCCCTTCCCGCGCCGCCTCAAGCTCCTCCCCTCACCACATCGCCAACGCCCATCGCAGCAGCTTCAAGGTATGGTCGATAATATTATAAACTTGGGGGTCCTCATCACGCCGCTTTGATTGCTTTCTGGTTTTTGCGAATGCATGCAACGTATGCTTCACTTGGCGTGCTGACCAGATTCCAGTTCGCGTGCCGCACCTAGGCAGGGCACGCCACCGCTGCCCTCGTCATTGCCAGCCAATGCTCTGTTGCTGCTGCTGTTCCTGTGCTGCTGCTGCTGCTGCTGCTGCTGCTCCTGTGCTGCAACTCTGGCGCATGTAGCCCCCTCCCCTAATACGGATTCTCTAGCCAGTCCCAAGCCTCGCTTGCGCAACCCTGGAACCTTCCCTGGACTGCGTAGTTCCTCCCCCGCTCCTCGTAGCCAGACCTCACGCTGTGCTACTACTAGTCCTGGCAGGCAGCCATATGCGCCGCATCGCCTGCAGGGTCGGGCCCCAGGACGTCTTCACCGGTGCGCATCTCCCCGCGCTTGAGCGCCTGCAGCTGCGCCTCAAGCTCCGTGCGAAGCTGCACGAAGGTGGGGCGCCGCGAGGGTTCACCGTCCAGACATGAACCCACCAGGTGCGCAAAGTCGTGGGGGGCCTTACGCGAGAAGGCGGGGAAGTTCTCTCGGGCGGCGAACCCGGAGGGTAGCGAGCGGTACGACATGCAGCAATGATACATCTCCCACCTGGCACGGTGGGCAGAGGGAGGGGGTGCCAGGGGGCCGGCGGGATAGGCGAGTTGGTGGTAAGGAGCCCGAGTTGATGCAGAGCTCAAGCAGGGGTGCGGAGTGCAAAAGCCCGTGTAAAACGTCCCGTCTGGGGTTGGCAACACAGGTTCGAGAGCTTCAGGTTTGGAGTAACTATGAATGGCAGTGTTGCGGCTGAGGGTAACACCAGCTCCGCGGCCCCCTGCCAGCTCTACATTCCCGCGAGGGGGGCCACCCACCCCCATGCGGGCTAACAAATGCGGCCACTTACATCATGACGCCCATGGAGTACACATCCGCCGCCTTGGTCATATTTCCCCGGGCCAAGATCTGAGGGCAAGTGTAGAAAGGCTGCGAGGGGAGGGGGCAAAAGACGTACGACAGCAAAAGCCGTTGGTAGGTAGGTAGGTAAGTAGGTTTCGTGTTATGCCGCGTGTTTATATCTTCGCAGTCAGCGTCTCTGTCACATTCCCTCTTACTACAACGCAACTTGGCGATTCGCAACTGGCTCAGCTGAAACATTTGTTGGTATGTTTTGTCGCACGTCGGTCCAACGCCGGCACTGCGCGATGCGTGGCGGGAAGTATCGCCTGTGTCGCTAAGTAAAACAAGAATCAGATAACGTGCTCCTGGGGGAGCATCAACGTGCTCATATTCGGCAGAGCCATCCGGAAAGATTTAGGGCCGTATACATACATAAGAGAGGACCTTAATGTTGTTGCCATAGCAACACTCCGCAAAACTTCGGCAAGACATCGCTACATCTGCACATGCTTCCTACTAATATCACCGCCTGCCGGACCAGATGCGATCCGCGAGACTACAACAGCAAACAGCGCAATGCACCAGCCAAACTCCTAGATCGCCGTAAGGGACACAGGCAGTGTAATCTATAATCTAGTAGAAAAAGCCGCACAAGGACGCTTACCGTGCCTCTCCGCATGTTGCTGATGTGGCTCTGGTCCGCATTCATCTTAATGCTCAACCTGCATCGTACAATACAATGACAGTGAGGGCAAGAATCCAGTACGGCAGCTTGTGCCCGCTTAGTGCCCCCTCGCATGCGCTCCTTGGGCCACATGATCCCGCATTAGTTCGCTAGACAGCATGCGCTCGAATCCAAGTAATCCAAACCTAAATTCAATTTTAAATTTAAATTCAAATCCAAACCAAGTCGAACGTCAAATTTTAAATTCCATCTGTCCATCAGCCCAAGGCGATAAACGCGTTCGCTTCAGAGTGCGATACAAGGCATGAGAACCGCAAATGCCGTGGGGTATACCTACCAGATGCCCCACACATCATCAGATTGACGATGGCATGCCCAGGAAGTGAAATCCAAGAACAGCAACATATACGGAGGTAAATGGGATTACTTTGCATAATTGGGGACACGCACCCGAAGTCTGCAATCTTGCAGATCGCGCCGTACTTCTTCCCGGTGTCGCGCTTAAGCAGCACATTGTTGGGATTCTGCGGTACGCACAATGGAAGACAAACAGCATCTCTTCACACACGCACACATACATACGTACATACTTAGGTCAGGCACTACTGGTAGAGCACGCACCAATGCCCCGAAGATATCCTAGGATCGAAACCCGCAAAATCAAAAATCCTTCCGATAGTGGAAGGTTAGACGGTGGTGACCTGGGATATAGATATCTTGCGAGCCGACCAGGAATGGAGTTAAGCCGCCGTCAATCCGGCATATTTTATTGGATGCCGGTGATAGGTGCGGAACCTGAGCGATCCACTGAGAAGTTAACTAGGGTGACTGGATGAGGGTAACCCCGAAATACCGGGGAAGGCAGGGTTTCGCAGGGTAGCGGCCACGGGTGAAGATATGCCCCCCTGTCCCAAACATCATACGTACTTAAACGCACACACATCGGCTGCTGCATGAAGGTGTGGTAACTGTTTCGGCTGCGAGCCACCGCAGCGGTAAATGGGGCTGTGTCCTCCTTGTGAGCTCCTTGTCCTTCGCTAGACGGATACCCATCCTCACGGACTATAATACTGCATCCAAACATCCAAAGCTACCTAACCCCCTTTTTTCCCTCCACTTACCAAATCGCCATGAATGATGTTCCGTTCATGCAAGTGCACGAGGCCGCCCGTTAGCTCCAGGCAGGTGTCCAAGATCATTTCCTGCGCCACGGAGCCACGACAGCACAGGGCACGTAGTTCTGATGATCCGAGCCGCGGGGCAGGAGCTGACGGACAAGGTATGTAGTGTAGCTTTGCACAGCCCGCCGCACATTTCCTTATTTAAGTTTCGGCTCTGAAACCTGCGTTGCCATATGTTTGCGTGCGACGGCACGCAAACCGGGACGTGTGTCGCACAGCTTCCGCATAACACGTGCTTTTGCATGTTCCACCCCACGCCATGCCCATTGGCGCATCACGCCTGCACAGGTGGTCCTCTGTCTCGGCCCTTTAATCTGGAGAGGCCTCGCTCCATATCGCGTCCGGAATGACCGATCACACACCCGCCCATCCGAACTCAGTCCGCCTCTCAGACAACAGCGATAAGCATCAACGCACCAAGCGGGGCTCTCCCTTCTTCGCGTCGAAAAACTTCCTCTTAAGGATCGCAGTCCGCAGGGAGCCCTGCGCGGGGGGGCCACAGCAGGCGGCAGCCACAGTAGGCAGTGGTGGTTAGCCCGGAGGCAGGCGAGCAGCTAGGGAGAGTCCCTCAGACAAAGCTACTATTATATCAACTAATCCGCGGACCCCTCACCTCGCTCCTGCGCCTGGTTTGCCTTAGCCCTTCCACACATGCGACGCCGATGTGCATACAGACCCTCTTAAGTCCGGCTTAGATGCTGCACACCGGAGAGCAGTGAAACGAAGGTAACGCAATCACTTCTCTCCTGCCAAATTGCCCCCGCAACATGCCCCCGGCGTTTTTCTACCGACGAGGCCTTGTCTCGCCAGCAGGGAGATGTATTCTATTCACGAGGTGATACGAGTCGCGATTATGGCTATCGGTATAATAAGCCCCCGCCCCCACTGGGCTCCACATCGCGTGGACATGTCCACATGCTATTGGTGCCATATAAGCTTGGTGGTCCACATCCACACTAAAAAGCTTTATTACTTCGCGTACTGAGGGGCCCTGGGCTCACCCCGTCACAGTACTCCTGTATGAGGTAGAGCTTCCAGTCTAAGACGGTGCGCTTGTCGATAATCTTAAGTCCGCCGCCGCCTCCACCGCCGCCGCTGCCCGCAGCGGTCTGGCCGCTGGCGCAATCCAGGCTGTCCAGCTTAGGTGCAGCTTGCACCCTGCGCGTTGGAAGGACATAAGACACACAATCAGGCCGCACCCACCCCGCATCCGCATGCCGGCAGATGATGACCCGGTATGAGTCCCACGGTACGGAATACTGCAACACAAAACTGAAACCTAATACCCAAGCCTGACAGTCTAAAGGCCGCAGGAAACGACCCTTGCGTGCATTGTAAAGCAGTACCAGAATCCCGCATTCCCCGGCCATGGAATGTCCTAATGAAATTTGACTTAATCAGGAGCTCAAAGCTGTGCCCGTCAGGGCCTGTACTCACCCTGTATCGCCCATGCGACGCGTAGCTAGCTGAAGCGGTTATGTACAAGCTGTTCAGCAGTGCACGCTGACACGAGCACGCAACAAAACCACAAAGCTGGAGGCCGCAAGCCCTTGCATGCCTCACTCCCCCGGTGTGATTGTCGCGCGCACACGTGTGTGTGCCTGTGTATTGACAGGCAACCCCATCCCAACCCCCCAAGAAAAAAACAGCACAGCACAAAACCAAACGTAACCGCTGGAGCCCCGCACGCCAATCAATCATCTCCTTGGTGCAGATTCTCCCCTCGTGGCCAACTACTCACGTCAACGGTTTTATGTCGTACGAGTACGTTGTCACGACGTTGGGCTGCACGGCAGGGCAGACAAAGGGATGAGACGTCGTCGTTAGGAGAGAATGAGAGAGACGGTAGACAAGGGTCGGGGTGAGGGTCAGGATTAGGTCAGGGGTAGAATGTCTGTCAGTCTGTCAGCCAGGGGCCCGGAAGCGACGATGGGTACTAGAGACGGGCGATTCCCACGGTGTTGGCTTCACCTGATCCACACGCATCGCGCACGCCTGACCGAGCTAAGCCCCGAAACCAACATTGACCCTACGCAAGCCGCAGACTGCTTTCCCCCTGCTGCTGTCCCCGCCAAGTGCGTGCTCCCCTCTTCCCAAGTCATGTGGGATACACGCTCATCCGTGTGTGAAGTGCACGAAAGAGCGCAAAAAAACACAATAGCGGCGACTAGTGCCAACCACTGGTAGATAATTGCGCGCGGGGACCCCACCCCAAGTCGCTGCAAGGACAACTGATGTGAGACTCGCCCCCGCCATCTCCGGCGTGTCTTGGCCTCCAGTCCCGATGTCCGCCGCCTATCTGGGCTGCACCCACCGGCGGCTTTGTGCCCACCACCACCCTCATCATCGACACTTACATGAGCCAGAGATGAGGATATCGCAGCCTCCAAGATGGCCCGGTGTTGCGCCTTTTCGCCACCCGCCACGCGGTCCTGAAACGTAATCGTCTTCACGGCCACGTTCAAACCCTTCCACATCCCTGAAGTGAGGCGCGGGTTCCAGAGGAATCCCAGGAGGCAGCGGGAGAGCGTTCGTCGTTGCACGCCATGCCGCGCAAAAGCGGCCAGTTGGCCAAAACATACATACATACACACATACGCAAACAAACGCGCACACAGCCTTCGGGTTTCTGCTCCTCTGCTCAGGCTCATGGCTGCTTCCCCTCATCCGCGCACCCCTACCCCCATCAGCGCACGTTCCAGCTGTCCAACATGCGCACGAACACCACCAATGACTGCTGCCGCCGTGGACCTCTAACCGCAAGGATTTAAGTTCCCTCTTCTCCCTGCACTTCCCCCTCGCGACACGCATGCATTCCGTGATGACCCCAGTAGCCCCACCCGTACTCACCCCGATACACAACGCCAAAGCCGCCTTGCCCAATGACCTCCAGAATCGTCAAGTGCTGATCGTCCATCTCCTGCGTCAGCGTCGCCATCATGCTGTTCAACACCTCCAGCGGCGGCTTGTCGTACTGCATGGCCGCCCCCGAGTCGTCGCTGGTGCCACCGCCGCCGCCAGCGCCGCCGTTCTGAGAGCCCTTGACTACCGCCGCTGGCGCAGAACCCTGCGTGCCGACGTCTAGCTGGTTCCCCCCGCCGCCAACCCCCGCGGCGCTGCTTCCCAGCCGGCCGCCGGCGCTACCGGTGTCTGCATCAGCCGAGCCGTTACTGGACTTTTTATCCGTGCCGCCGCTTTTGACGGCCTCCACCTCATGGCGCAGCCGGCGCACGCTGGTGCGCCAGGCGATAAGGCTCGCCGCAAGGGCCACGAAGAGCACGCAGCCGATGACGACGAGCGCAATCTGCCAACCTAGAAGGCTGCTGCTTCTGCTGCCGCCGCCGTGCTCATCCATGTGCGCCACTGAGGGCACCGGAGGAAAGGGTGTGAGGAATTACACGCAAAGCTCTCAAAAGGGCAGCAGAGGAAAGGGTTCGGAGCAGCCAGGGGTTCCAGAACGTTAAGGAGTTAAGGGAGTTACGAGGCCGAGGAGGGCGAAAAACCGCACTGGTCGAGTACGCAGCAACAGCACGATGTATGGCCCTATTGGCAAACATCGGCCCCGGTGAGGGCCCCGAGCGCAAAGCCCTCCCCCAAGGCTCCCAAAGAGCATATTTGCGACGACGGCCACGGGCGACCCGAACGGCGGCCAGGCAGTAGGATACCGAACTTATTTTCTCAACGACTCACCCAAGGGTTCGTAGGCGTTATTGTACAGCAAAGGCACATCCGACGGGCAAGAGTAGGTCAGGTTCACAAGCCAGCCGTTCCAGCCCCAGCCAGTTATGTTCACAAAGGTAATGTAATCCGCCACAACCGTGAAGCTGCGAGGTGGCGGGGAAAAAGGGTTCTGAGTGAGCGTTCCAAATCGGGAACATCGCTGCACGGCGAGCTGGAACGCACACATACTCATACACATATGCACACCTCGGACTGAAATATCACCCTGGTGCGTGCTGGTTGAGCAGGGCCTGACACAAGTTTGCGTGGCTTGGGTTTTGCCAGGTCGTTTGTTGAGAAGGGGCGTAGTGTGGACAGCTTTGGTTCTAGGGTTCAGCTTAAGGGCTTAAGGCGCCGGTAGGGGGGCCCCTCACGGGGAGGGGAGCCGCCCAGGTGTTGCAAGGACCCAGGGTGCGCAGCCGCGCCTGCTCAAGGCGCCTGCTGCATGGGGGGAACTGGGCCGCAGCGCGTCCTGAGGTTGGCCGTTTGAGGGCCTTGGTAGCCACCGCGCTCACTTTCCTCTTGACAAAAAGGGGAAACACGGCGGTGCACGCCCTCGGTCGAGCTGGAGCCGGCCACTACCCACCCGGCCCTACCCACCCGGCCCTACCCACGAGGCTAGCTTACTCACTGACACCAACGAACATCAAAGAACCCCTATGCGGCATCCAGAACTAGGAATACCTGCCGACCTGTCATGTCCCTCTGCTTCTCGCCGTGGAGCTCCGGCGTAAGCGCATTTCTTTCTTTTCCTTTTGCTTCTACCCCTCAAAACGAAAAAAAACGCAGGCAGGCATGCCCCTAGGCACCTATCGTCCCGAATGCCGGCCTCAACCAAAGTAACACCCCACACACACACCCCGTCAGATGGGGCCCACTCACAGGTCGTAGAAGAACAGCGAGCCGACCACTGCGCCACTGCCCTTCAACGACGTACCGCCCACCGTCCGCATCACCACATTGTACGTCAGTCGAAACTCCGTGTATGTGATGATCAAAATAGACTGGTTCAAAAAGAGCCTCGGCACGCCGGCGGGCCCGCAGCTGGTGGTTCAAGAAACAAGAAACGGGAGGGCAGATTGGGGAGGAGAGAGACGGGCGGGTGGAGTATGAGAGCCGTTGGCAGGGCACTGGCCGACCTGTCGGAACAGGGCCGAAAGGCTTACGATAATCGCGGCGCTTACAATATTCCCTATCTGCGCGGATTACAACCAAGCTCATTAAATGAGCAGCATATGGCATGACGGCAGTAGCAGCGACAACAGCAACATGATGGCAATCTCATGCTGCAACCTACACCCCCACATCGTTGTCCATGCATTCCAGTCGTCCCCTTCCCCGTGCTCCTGAACAACCCCCCCAGCAGGAAAGCAAATCCCCACCGGCCCTTGACACCGCCCTTCCGCCGCTTTTCCGCCGCAAGGTGGGCCCCCTAAGACCCGTCTCCTCCGTCTCCCTGCATCACCCCGCATCGTTACTCCCCTTCCCCAATCCACGTGAGCCCTACGAGACGCCGCTGCCTTTCCTCACCATACCCACCACACGCACGGTTCTCGCCCAGTTTTCATCTCTGATACTTAACACCTTTCCTTCTCAACTCCCCGACGGTGCCCCCCCCCCCGACTCCCCCCATTCCCACTTACGTACTGACGCCCTGGAAGTTGGTCAGGTAGATGGAGACGTCGTCGACGCCCAGACCGGCCGCCTGAGCACCCGCCAGCGCCGACCCCGCAGGCGGCTGCAGCAGCCCGTTGGGGAAGTTGATCAGGTGCATACCCTGGACGTACATATACTCGGAGGGTACGCAGCCCGTGACGCGCACAAAGTTGGGCACGCGCTGGAAGTCCATCCACGTCATCCGGCCAGCGTTGCTTTGCCCCACAATCAGGACCGGCTGCGCGACATTGTAGCCCCCCGAGGGCCACACCCCGGGGTCTATTGTGATGTTGCTGAGGATGCACATCACGACGCCCTCAGATATGGGTGTGGTCTGCATGGCGCTAAAAAGGGTCATCAAATCAGAGAGGTCGTAGACGGGTAGAAGCGTGAGGTTGGCTGCGAGCCCAAAAGACTGAATGATCACTGGGTTATCGAGTACGAGATGATTGTACGGCACTGCCCGTACGACGGAGGTGAGGTTGATGTTGATCATGTCCAGGCCGGTACCAGTCAGCCGACTGAACCGCAACGTCTCGTTCGTCGAGGAGGTGAACTGCGGGGAGAAGGACAACAAGGAATTCGTCCGGGCTTTTCGAAAGGAACACCGAAAGGAACAGAATTCATGGTGTTAAGGCGGCGCAAGGACGGAGACACAGGCTCAATACCATCGGGTACCTGGCTCCCCAACGTACAGCCTCGGGGGAGGAGATTGCCTTTTCCCGTAACTACAGCGCAACGTAATCACTCTTTTTTTCCGCACAGGGCTCGGCCTGCTGGGCCTGCTGGGCTGCCATCGCCAAGCAAATTACAGCTTCTACCTACAACCATGCAGCACGAAACTGCGCGCAGCGCTTGTGACAAAACACCCCGTGCGCTCCTCCCTATTTCCTTATCCCCACAATTCTCCACTTCCCCCCCACACACAGGCACGCACACACAGTGAGACAGACAGACAGACAGACAGGCACACACAGGGGGCGAAAACGGGGCAGAAAGTCCCGTGCTGCGTTTTTTGCGTCCTAACTCACGTTAATTCGGACCGTCGTCGCCCGGAGCTGCGCCCCGACTTCGTCTAGGTGGACCTCGGTGGTGGTCAACAAGGTCCACAATCGGAAGTACTGGTACTCACTTGACGGCAGCAGCAACACGCAATCGACTAGAGTCAACTGCGGCGCCGCCGGAATCCTGTCAGGTCTCGGCGATTCACCCATCCATGCGAAACACGAAGCAGCCAGCACCATAAAGAGAGAGAGAACACGTCAGGCGGGTAGATAAGTAGGCCCGGCCAGGCTGAATTCGTTCGCGGACGTTAATCGCGCCCGCCAAAAGCGAAACGTTGCTGTCCATCAAAGCAAAGCGAAAGCAAGCGCTTGTTTTCGCTTTAGCGGGAGGCAAGGAAGCGGCCTTTGACACACACGCGCTCACACATTTTTAAACACACATTCCCCAATCACCTGCGTTTATGCATTTTCCCTGCGCCTAACCCCGGGTGCCAGGGAGAATCTGCTACTGCTGTGCCGTGCTGTGTAGTTATGAGCTAGGGTCCTCAGGTAATCTAGGGAGCTGACGATCCAGGCGGATAACCTGCCTAGCGACATGCGCTTCGTTGGCTAGATACGACACATCGCAACCCTTCCAGGAGCTGTTCAACGGCACCCAGGTGTGCGGGAGAGGGAGGCCATCAGCGAGCTGCCGCACGGCTGCATCTGCTTGTGCTGGCACTGCGACGTGGCCTTCTTTGCAGCAACAGCCGCAGCTCCCCGGCAGGCTACGCAGCATGTGTATCACCCAACGTGCAACGACGCTGATGACCCAGATGACATCAGGTTCAGCCCCATCTCGCCCGCTGCAGCCGAGCTGCCTCCGCCCCAGGCCTGCTGCTGCCCTTCCCGGTGCCTTGCTTGCTTGCTTGCTTGCTTAAGACATCTACTAGCCACTTCCGTGACCATATTTACCTAGTAACTCCACCTCCCTATCCACACCGAGTAATACCGTGTTCGTTTCGGCCACATGGTCTGGCCGCCTGCACACCTCCTCCCGTAGAGGTTCATAGCAGTCCATTCGTTAACCATTAACCGCTATGCACATGCAGGCGAAAGCTCTCAGGAGAACAGCGTCCCACCAGCTCACCCACCCACCTGACGAATTGAAAGAACCAGTTCTGCCCGCAGACGACCACAGACAGGACCCAACGGGGCAGCGCCGGAGCAAAGCACGGAAGGAAAGGGGACAGGCCCAAGGTCAGTGTGTTCAGGTGTCAGTTCAACCGGATTGGGTGCGCGCGGCGGGCGGGGGTTGGAAACATATGCAAGAAACTCAAATATGGACTGCCGACGGGGAAGAGAGAGAGAGAGAGAGGCAGCCCGGTGCGGAGCGCATATGTCATATCTCTTTCACGCGGCCGCCACAACCGCCGTCAACATTGCAACAACGTGCGCACCGCGATATGATTTTCACCGGTCAGAGAAATCACGGAGCAACGCCCTGCCCAAGACCTGGGAAGGTGGAAGGTAGCACCTGTGCATCACCCCTTGATACACGAGGGGGTTTTCCTGGGGCTTTTTTCTGGGAGCTTTGTGTACCCGGAATGGCCCAGAAATGACAACCCACGCCAAACATGTCGGTGTGCATACATTTGCATCTCCTGTAAGTGGCCACGTAACCAGGACGGTGTGGTAGGAGAGAGTTGAGAGAGGTGCCCACCGGTGGGGATGGGCGACCTCCCCGCGGGGTGAGGTTAACTAGCCTGTCGGCAGCTAGCCTGTCATGACATGCGGTGGCCGAAAGAACTGCATACGACCCAGAACAGGGGCCCCAAGCCCCGGCCCGCGTCCTGCCTTTCCCCCACGCCCTTGTTACCGGTATAGAGAAGATGGGCAGGATGCTGAGCTGTTGGAGCGTCCCTCGAAGCGGCCCCGCGTTGACTATGAAGAAATTTTCCAAGGTAAACATGACGCCGCTGCCAAGACTGACGGCGTTTACGACGCATTGCAGGTCCAAGAGGTTGACGGAACCAGCAGAGCCCCGGAGAGTGACATTACGAGTGACGTAAAGCGGGATGGCGCGCTTCCACAAGCCGGGAGTCATGGTGATGTTTCGGTCAGCATAAATGGTTAGGCTGCTCCGGCTGCCGTTGGCTGGGATTCCTGTGGCGTAAGCAGCCAGAGCGTTGTAGAGCTCCAAGCTATATGGGAGACCAGGAGAGGAAGGGCGGCATGTGCGGGGGGGGAGGTGTTGTGTTGTGCGACCTGGTGATGTGGGTTTTGTGGAGGAGGTGGGTGGATGTGTGAGGTGGGTGACGATGCGGATGGTGGAGATGTGAGTTGGATTGCGCGGGGCGGGGCGGGGTTGTTCCCTGTCTACCTGTTGCTCACTAATGCGACGTAGTCCACGTCAACTGTTGTCGTTGTGATGGCGGGCAAGTTACAGGTGATGTTGACCGAGGACGCCGATACAGTATTCGATAAGTAGCTTCCGATGAAGAGGTACGTCGGCCCGTGCACGGAGCCAGCTAGGTTTGAGGCAAGGAGCGTAGAGAGAGATAGGCAATCCGTCTCGATCGATACCGACTTCATCACCAGCTGTTTCGTATTGAAGGCCGGTAGAGAAAGAAGCGGCTCCGACGCAAAGCGCACGTTCAAAAGGCGCAAGTTCTCAAGCATGAGGGCTGTCCCTGCAGCCATCACATGCGTTTTTGCTGTCAGCATTTGGCCATACCCTTCGCCACGTTTACATACTAGCAAAGTCAGAGAAAACATGGCTATGCCCTTACCAGGGGCAAAGTCCACCGCAGTAGTAAGGAACTCCATATCCAGGGAAGCAGACCCATCTTGCGCCCCACTGATCATGAGAGTCTTGTTTACTACAAGAGGCTGCGTTGAAGACCCGAGTAAGGAGCAGCCAGGAGAAGGCAATATGTATCTGCTACCGTCGGACGTCCTCAATCCATCCAGAAATGAACCTAGACTACACGTTGATTCTCCAATACTACTCCCAGAAAACAAGAGGAAAGACGAGACAGCTGCAAGGGCGAGCCTAGCAAGCCTAACCGTTTCCTTTCGCAGCATTGCTAAGTGATAGAGCCTCCGTGGGCTACATCAAATCATTTCCCCATGTCACTTTAGCTCTTGGGCGATTGTGTCGACTATCGTGAGTTACACAACCTCGGGCAAAAAACAGCATGCACAACGCACGGCCTGTTGTCAACCAAGTCGGTGGAAAGTATCCTTCATTCCTGTAGATGGCAGGCGGACCTCCGAAGTCTGAACTGGTTTCCATGCTGTACGACATATAACGGAAGGGTTACAAATCAAATGAAACAAAAAAATTGCATAACAAAATTTTGAAACCAATAGCCGATACCATCTATGTCCCTTTCGACAAGGATCGACGTTCAGCCACTATCCGCTGTACTACCGTAATTGACGCAGAAAGTGTGACTAAGGCGTGCAACTCCTAAGTTGTGCCTTTCCTCCAGGCCCGAGGTCTGCTTAGCTGAGTCTAGCAGTCTCTTGGCACCAGTCTCCTTAGTCACACTCTTATCTGTTCGGACTGGAGGAAACCGGCATTCCAAAGTTGCTGTTCCTCCTCTACGACCCAATATGGCCATGAATATATAGCAACTGAAAATCCATATGCTTGGTTTATTTATGAGCCACCGGTATCCTGGAAGTTGAGTAAGCTGACCCCACGTGACAGCTCATGACAACGCACCGGCCAAGCATTTGTGCAAGCCGGATGGCACGTGCAACAACTACATACACACGTAGAAGCCGACACGTCGCTTCAAGATCGGACCCGATCTTGCTTGCGCCACGTTGCGGCAGCCCCATATCAGCACGGGGCCCAGTCGCCGCCACGACCGCCGCCATCCCTGAGCAATGACGAAGGCTCTACCGATGCACCTAGCGTCCCCGCCAGCAGCAGCTCATGTGCTTTGCTCGACAAGTGCACTCCATCGTACCAAAGGTGACCCGCCGGGTCGCTGCAGGCCACGCCGGAAGGTGCCAATGCGTAGCGGATAGCCCCGCCGGAAGCCTTGGCCTCCCCTGCGGGGTTGTGGGATACCGCCTGTGCAAGGGGATAAGGCCAAACCTAAAGGTGATAAGGTGAAGTTCTGAACCACATTAGGACGGAATTTCACATTAGGATGCGAATGAAAGCGGGTGCGTGGCTCGGTCTCAAAAAAGAATTCTATTATAAAACTTGCCCCTCTTTATTGTAAAAATCGGCTCACCACCGTGCCGAAGTTTGCCCTGTCAGGAAAGGACTAATCCCAAGACGGAAACAAGGACCGAAAAAGGGAAAGGTTTGGGACCTTCGCAGCCAACATCGCACACAGCTTCGGGTGATGATTTACGAGCGCGGATGCAGTGAGCGCGTCAAGATGGCCACGAACATATCGCATCTTTCGCACGTTCAGGTTCACATGGGAGTTTATCATTGTGAAGCCGCGCAGGGGTAAGGGAGTAAAGGGTAAGCGGTCTGAGTTTACCAGGGTTTTTCAAAATTCTTCAACCCAACCGCACCGTGGGCCATGACCCTTTCTAGCCGCCGTACAGACCCGTACGCACCTCAGAAGGATCTTCCAGGCAGGGCCGCAAGTCCAGCGGGCCCATGCACGTCGAATTGTTGATCGCACATGTGATGGCGCCGTACGCGTCGTACAAGTAGAGTGCAGGGCTCGTCGGGTAGCGCTGCTGAAGCCGCGCCAGCAGCGCTGCCAGACCGGAATTGATGGCCTGTCCGGCGATCTGCGCTGCCGCACGACTCCCCGGCGGCAACTCGTTGGAAGCTTCGATGGGCGCCAACGTCCACACGATGATGACATCCCTACTCCTACCTCTGTTGCCGCCGCCGTCACCGCCATCACCGCCGGAAGGCACCGCCAGCGCTGCCATCAAACGGCTCAGCGCGGCCTCGATGCAGGCGCTGACGTTGGCGGCGACGCCAGCCGCCGTCCCTGGAGCGTTCCAATCGTGCGGCGGCGATGTAAAGTCGTTGTGTCCAATCCACAGGTTGATGAGGCGCACGTGCGCGGGGCCCGGCCCGGCATGGGAAGAAGAGGCTGCGGAGGCGGAGGCTGAGGTGCAGGCTTGCGGCAATAAGCCCTCCAAGGGCGGAGTCGGTGTGAGGAGGCCTCGGAGACATTTGGATGGCCCTTCCCTGGGATGCGGGCCGCTGCTGACCTCCGCCGGGGCGGAAGATGGTAGTGCACGTGGAGGATGTGGGTTGCTGTTTGCTGGTGCTGGTGCTGCTGCTGCTGCTGCTGCTGCTGCTGCTGCTGCTGCTGCTCCTGCGGTCGCCGTATCTGGCGGTGTGTGGTCCGCTGAATCGGTGCCAATGCCGGCGCTGGTGCCCGGTGCTCCGCTCAAGACCATGTCGACCTAATAGGGGTTGCAGCCGCATCACCCCGCGTTACCGGTTTAATGCAATATTTCAATGCAGCACGCTAAATTTCAGGGTTGAGGTTGGTTTCGGAATCGGGGAAAGGCCAAACGAATGAAGTTGTGACGAAACGAATGAAGTTCTGATGGCCCATGCACACGAGGGCATCAAAATAGAGGAGAGTCACCCAACAGGGGAAACGGAAGGCTGCGAAAATGCACCTCTTCCTCTTATTTAGGCTAGCCAAGGCGTTGCCAACCAGCCGCACGTAGCCGAGTCGGCTCCCGCTATGTATCCTTAAGGAGCGCTCAGCTCGCGAGCACGAGTGGGGCGTGTGCATGGATATGTGCGTGGTCCTTACTGCGCAAGTCCATATCGGGGTTGCTGCTCGGGCACCCCGTGCTGTGTGCGATCAGGAGTCTGGCAGCCAATGGCGCATTACCCACTGTCGTTCTACGCTTCGCCTTCCCCGCGCCTGCCCCATCCCACAATGCATGTTAGGAGCCCTGTCACGTCGTGCCTGAATCCCGCCATCAGCCTTAAGGAAGCAAGGCCGAGTCGTAGCCGCCCTACACATACTAAGGCGCCTGTGCGGGATGCCCCCTTTTCAGCAAGTTGCGCAAAAGTAACATGCACGCATGCACACGACAAACCTGCGCCATGAGGTCTGGCACCGACGACAGGAGAGTTGTACCACCCTTGCACGCCGTCGCGCCGCCGTACGCGTAGTCCCGTACGGCAACACGACACCCTGCGCGCGCGGTGCTGTTGCCCTCGTCGCCGTCGTTGCCAACATATCCAACGGGCCCGCAATCGTGGGAGAGCCGCTGCGCCAGGAAGTCCGGCCACATGGGCCCATCGGCGAATCGGCCGTGCCAGTAGGCCGTCGCCGCTGGTATGCCGCCACCGGTTAGGTTGTATACGTTGCCTGGCATTGCCAACCAACAAAGCCGGGGATGGGGCAAGCATTGATTCAAAGAGGCTGCTGGAGGCAAGTACCGCACGACGACATTCTAGCAAGACGGCGATAGGTAGGTAGGTAAGCTCCCATCAGTACAGCAAACTGCTCAGGACGAGTTCTGCCTCTTCGAATTCTTTGAAAAGCCGCTGGACGCCTGGTGGCCGCAAGGTGTTTGTGTTAATCAGGGAAGGAGGAAATCCTAGCCTCGCAGCCTGAGCCTCTGGAGAGTTTCGTGTTTCGGGAAGGAACGGAAACGGCGAAGGGAGCCCCGGACGGGAAGAAAGAACGACAGGCAGCCCTTTATTCCTCTGTCCGGTTTCTGTTTCTGGAGCGCTGCTGGAGGCTGCAATGCAATAGTTCCCGAGGACAAACGCGGCTGCAAGACGCGGGGTGAACGCGAAGGTGAAGGTGAACGGCGGCGGCGACGGAGGCAGTGGCCATCCAGGCGACTGCCCCGGGGTCAGGTTTCGCATGTGCAGTGTACGGCAACGGACCCAGTACACACCTGTGTCAGACAAGGAGTCGCCGATGACGATGAGCTCAACAGCGCAACCCGCCTGCACTGCGGCTCCACTCTCGGGTCCGGACCTGGCTTCCGGAGGCTGCGGCAGCGGTTGGGACGACGATGGCGGTTGCAAGGCGCCCGCGGCGGCAGCCCCTGGGTGGGGAGCTGGGCTGGCACCGGCACCGGCAGTAGTCGCGGCAGTGGTGAGATGGGCCGGTCGCGCGCTAAGGTTACCAATCATGCAGATGTCTGTGGCTAGGAGGAAAAGCAGCGGCCACAGGAGGTGAGGCCCCCGGAAAACCTTCAGATTGTGTGGAGCCATATCCTTGTTTGCGTGAAGAGCCAATCGGCGCTATCCGCCTCCGGAGCTTTTTCGGTTTTCGGGTTTCAAGAGGGGCTTTGAGGTCGGGGCGAAGTGAAACAGGAGGACGAATCTAAACGTCGGTCGGGATAGCTGGGAAATAATTGAGAGCACAGGTTTGACTCTGCGAAGGAAAAGGCACCCGGTCGGGGCATTTGGAGTCTTCATGTGTGCGCGCGTGTGTGCGTGTATTGCTTTGGCACGTTGACCTGTCTGCTGTGTAGAGACGAGGGCAGGTTGCCTCATTTGAGAAACGTACCGGCAAGCGATGACCCGTGGGTCGGCTCGGCAGGGTCTTTTGTCCATGAATCAACAGCTTTGGAGGCCAGACCGAGCCAGGTTCTGTCCATTCCGAGAGGTTTATCGGGTCTCACCGGAGACCGCCGGGGCATTTGGGCCGTCGCTGTTCCGTTTGTTTTCTCCGATCGTTCGCACAAAGGAGAAGGAAGGGCACCAACAACCAAAGAACCCCGCGGGGCAACTTACCATACTACAACCACTACAATCTGCCACAGCTACCGTATCTTCGTACTGCCGATGCTGCGCCACAATCTGAAGCATGGAGGGGAGTCGCCATCCATGCATACAGGATCTCACGTTACCACTGGTGCGATGGAGGCATTGGCAGCAGAAGGTGCTGGTGCGCGACATTGCTCGCGGGGATGTAAAAGATCCCATTTACATTTTTGCTAAGAACAGCACCCAGCAGTAGGTTGCCATGCCATGACCTACATCACATGGGACGTCAATTGCGTCACGTTGGCGTCTTCATTCCTCATCCAATTTGATTCCTCACCCAAAAAATGACGTCCAGCGTGCCACACGTGCTTGTGTTTGCGACACACGCGTCATTGCTCGGATGTCCGAGGAGGACGACCCGGGCATCTGTCGTATCCTCCTTCCCTGCCTCTCAGTGCTGCAATAGTTCAGTGTGGGGATGAAGTGGTGTACTCTGCGCGCCGAAGAAGAACAAGAACAAGAAGAATGGAGAGATCCTTCCTTCCGTCAGCTGATTGTTGGCCTGCCTGTATCTGATACGAGTCCAGGGAACCTGAAACGTAACCCCCGCCCGCCGCTATCCGTGGCTTGCATTGGGCATACATGTACATACGTACATACGAACTTATTTAATATACAGACATTATTGCACCCTGCAACCAATGTGTTGCTGCCACCTCCTGCCCCTTTTTTTCCTTTCTCATCGCTCACACTCCTCCTTGTCGGATAAAAAACCACACATCGCCATTTAAGCTGGCAAAGAAGGAAGGTACATGAGACATAAATAATGCCTTGATGCGTGATGATGTGCCACGAACGCAACGTTCCGGCAAGAACAGGACCGCATAATGATATGAAACAAAGTTAGAACCAAGAGTTGCTGCTGCTGCTGCTGTTACTGCAGTTCCTGCTGCTGTTGCTGCTGCTACTCCTGTTACTGCTACAAACGGCACCACCTGCTCCCATACATTAGAAGTTACTAGGGATTTAACCTTCCTGGACTCATGTAGAACAAACGTGATCACGGAGCACAAGACGGCCAATATACGCGGTCACTTCACACACCGCCAACAGCACGGGCTGCAGCAGCCCTAGCGTGGTGCGGTTGTTGGCGCCACTGGGTCGCCAACTGCCACAACCGAAAACTGACCAAACTCCCGCCGTAACCAGTCCACCCAGTCCTCCGCCGCGACATCTGATCCTCCACCTGCTGCCGGTTCTCTCACACCCACGCCAGCCCGCTGCGCCTCCACTGCCGCCGACCTGCCCGGCCCCACTGCCGCCTCCGAGTCCGCCGTACTCTTCCCCGCAGCCAGCAGGACGCCGAACTGCACCTTGCCGCCGCGGCGCCGGTACTGGGCAAGCGCCACCAGCACCTCAGCGCCCCGGCGTACACCGACCCGTGGGTCCACCTGCAACAGCTCGCAGCGCGGACATGTGCCCAGCACGTCCGCATGCAGGGGTCCAACGCGCACAGCCGCCCAGCTGTCCTCCTCGTACGGTTGGAAACCCGACACGACAAGGTTGGGACGGAGGCGCGTGACAAGGTCGTCCTCCTCCACGTCGCCGCCACTGCCGCTGGTAGTGGCAGCGTTGGTGGTGGTGGTGGCGTTGGTGGCGGTGGCGGGCATGCTGAACCTGGCTCCTGATCCAGTGCCTTGTTGTCGCAACCGTGCACGTAGGTCGTCCATGCTGGCCTGCGAGGGCCAACACAGATGAGGGGGGAACCGAAGCACGAACGAGTGAAGCTGATGCCAAGGAATGAAGGCGAGGGGAGGGTTGCGTGAAGGCCAATAAGGATGTGGCGAGTATATCTACCGAGTGGAGGACTGTATCTGCCGCGGGCTGGAGGATGGGTGGGTGCATGTGCTGCGCGCAGTCTTGGAAGGGGCGATAGGAGTAGCAGGCCCACCGCTAAAGCGCGTGCATGCCATACGCATGTCTGTATGTCTGTATGCAGGGAAGGACGGAATCATGCACGGGATTGGGAGCCTGCTGATGTGGCGGCGGATCGGGGCGGGGTATTTCTCGAGACGGATCAGCAGCCCCTAAAAATCACTGAGGCCTCTCTCTCCGTTTCTCTTCGTGCCTATTCCCTCCACCTCCCCGCAAACCCCCACACGCGCACCCACACCCACACGCCAGTCACACAAGGATGGCAAGGAAAGAACAACCAACCGCGAGGTGACCTCCCTTTCCTCCCTCTTCCCTCCCTCCGGCCTTCGCTGTCGCCGGGCGGTCATCATTTACCTCCGAAACCAGGAGGTATTGACCGTCGTTCGCAAAGCCCACGGAGGGCTCCCCCTCGGCAGCCGCGGCGCCCTTCCCGCCACCGCCGGCCTCCAGTGCAGAAGCGCCTCTTCCACCACCACCAGCTCCACCGCCGCTGCTGCTACTAGCACCTGACAACAAATGTTGTTGTTGTTGCGGCTGCTGCGGCTGCTGCTGCTGCAGGTACGAGTTCGTTGCCGTGTTGTTGGCCCTCGACGGTCCGGATGATGAAGCTGCGGATGCAGAGGTCACCGCCCCCTGACCCGCGGGTCGCCGGACCTTGCGTGCACCGGTGCGCTGCTGCACGATGCGGCAGGGCGCCCCGAGCGTACGACCAAACCACTGGCGAACGCGGGTGTCGCCCTCTGAGTCATGGCACACGTCAACCTGGTGGTGCCGATGTTGGGTACGAATAGGATGGGTTGTTGTTTGTGGTGATGGTGGGGTAAGATTAGGGGAAAGCATGAATGGCTACAACGCATCGCGACGCATGGGACGACTTGTTGGTGCGTGTTGGTTGCGGGATACGCTAGGCCAGGCTCCACACCCAAAGCCAGGGGTTGTATGTAACTGGGGGGTTAAATGGGGTCAAATTACCAGCAATTATCCCGACCCCGGCTCACATCCTGTCCTGTCCCTATGGAATTTGTGGGATACGCTAGGCCACGGCCAGGCTGGGACTAAACACGGCTCACCAGGTCGGAGCAAACCGTATCGCCACACACTTGGACACGCTCCATGGTTAACCCCGCATCCAGTCGTACGGTATCCCGGCCGTGCCGTACGGGCTGTTGCTGCTGCTGCTGCTGCTGCTGCTCGGACATTGCTGTTGCCAGAGTTGCCGCGATCGTCGTTCCCAGTGCTGGCGTTACTGCTGCTGTTTCAGGTGGTTCCAATCCCCGAGCCGCCGCTGCAGCCACATCCCGACTCCCTAACTCCCCCAGGTCGGCAGCGGCGCCACCTGTGACGACCTGGGGGATGCGGCGGCAGCTGTGAAACAGGCCGGGGATGGCCAACTCCAGGGGCGGTATGTGGATGTCGTGTGGCGCGTGAATGGTGAGTGTCCCGCGGGTCAGGTCCACCACGGGTCGCACCAGCGCCATGCGGGGACACTGCTTCAGCGTCAGTACCTTGCCTGAGGGAGCGGGGGTGTGTGTGGAGAGGGGGCGGGACAGCAGACCACCGGTAGGGCCGGTTACGGTTACTCGGGCTGTAGACAGGAGGCGGAGGAAGGCCAGGTAGGGTCACGCGCGCGTGTGGTAGTGGCAGACTAATGGTGTTGGTGTCATTGGTGTTGTCGCTGGTGGTGTTGGTGAGTGGAAACAGCAAACTTCCGAGTTGGGGTTCGCGAGGTTATCTGGATGAGCTGGACGGATTTGCATAGACGTACAGACAGACGTACAGCAGGACCCAAGTGATTTTAAAGGGTATTGATTGGAGGGGAAGGAGGGGGAGGAGCCCTAAAGGTTCACGACGGTGCAGAGCCGCGGCCCTCATTGTAAGGATGGAAACCTGTGCGCTCATCAGGGAGCTCAACAGGGCCTCCTCACGCCCACACAAACCCACGGATCTAGTGCAGGCACCCGACAACCCCCCCTTAACTTTCCCCTCCCACCCGCAATCACGCTCACACACGGACTCACTCACCGCCATCATCCACAAGGGCCCACTCTCTGTCGTACAACAGACCCGTGGGTCCGATCGGCCAGGCCTGCACCACCTGCGGTGCGCACGACTTCACCGGGTAGAACAAGATGCGGCTGAGGTGGGGCGCCGCCGCCGCCGCCGTCGCTACCGCCGCCAGTGGCGGCCTGCCAGTGCACCCGCCGCGGGCAGTTTGGTCAACACAGGGATACTCATTCCTAAGGTTGCTGCCGCCGCTGCCGCTGCTGCTGCCGCTGCTGCAAGTACTGACGATGGCGCCTCCAGCGCCACTGTGTACGGCAGCGCTAACGCTTGGGTGCTTGGGTGGGTTTTGGCCGCAAGCGGTCTGTGTGGCGCTCAGCACGGCCCCCACCGGGGGCATCGTCATCATCGTCATCCCGGTGGGCGGCTGAGGTGATGTGGAGGAGGTCTGGTGCTGAGGAGATACAGAAGAAAAGCTTTCAACCCGCAAAGGCTGCAGCGCCTGGGTTGCCATATGCTGCTGCACGAGCGGCTGTTGTCTCTCCGCCTGCGCCGCCGCCCCCGCCGCCGCCGGCCCCTCCGCCATCTTCGGCATCGACAGCGCCACGGAAGGCACGGCACTTGGCTTGGCTCCTGATGCGCCCTCGCCGCCACCGCCGCCGGTGCAGCTGCCGCCGTTCTCGCCGCCGCCGTCGTGCACAAAGTATCGCCGAATGAGCTGCAGCACCGCGTGCACGTCCTCGAACGTGCTGACGGCGCCCAGGGAGACCCGCACCGCCCCAGTGGGCCTCCCATCCGCCAAGTCGTGGTCGTCCCAACACACGTGACCAGCTCTTCAACCACAATCATCATCATCATCATCATCATCGTCGACATCATACAGCCAAAGGTGTCCATGTCCACGGCCATGTGGTCCATTGGCGAGGATGGGGGGGGAGCGAGCACCCGGGGGAAGACGAGCGAACCCCTTCTCATGTGTCGTGCTGATGGAATGGATCTTTAACCGAGGGGGGAAACGTCCTGACCGGCAACCCAACCCACGGCCGACACACGGCCCGACGTATACCTTGCGATGCGGGTACTGAGAGTGGGAATGACGTGCACGCGCAAATCAACACATCGGACGTTTTGGATGGATCCCCATTCTCCCGTGTTCTCGGGCCCAGGGTCACGTCCCCACATCCCCACCAGCCTGAAGGTCCCCCACCGGTGGCCAGGCTCCTTCCTACCTCGCCCGTGCAGGCGGCCCCAGGCACACGCCGCACCCCCTCGTGCCTCGCCTGCACGAGCACGCAGGTGCACTCGTGCGCGGTGCACATGTCCCGTCCTCTCTTGTTCCCGCTCGCCTACACCTTTCCCTTTCACCCCGGAAGGCCCGTAGCCCTTCCCAAGGACTTTTTAACCCTCCACTTTACACCCCCCACGCACATAGACATACATACATACACACATACATACTTGTGATGACGGATGAGGTCCTCCGCGGTCAGGCCCAGCCACTCCGCGCACGCACCCGGGTTGCAGAAGCAGCCGGTGCGGAGGACCAGCCCATGCATGGCCGCCAGCCGCCCCACCTCCGTGTAACCCACCCAGCTGCCGTCGGGGCGTAGCAGGTTGAAGGATACTGTGGGGCCGTGCTCTGCATCTAGCACGCTGCTAGCGGTGAGGGTCGTAGTTGTGGTGGCGGCTGCGGCTGCGGCGACAGAGCACCACCTGCCGTACAACATGCACACCGGCGTGCCGTTGGCGTGGCGCAGCGCTGCCAGGCGGATAGTCAGCCAGCGAGCCAGGCAGCAGCTGTGGCGGTGTACGGCAGGGAGACCGCCCAGGCGGTGCAGGAAGGCGAAGCCGTGGCGGGCGGCGGCGATGGAGGTGAAGGGCGGCGTGCCGTCTTCAAACCCCGGGGCACCTTGGCGTCTGAGGAGGGAAAGGAAGGGGGGGAGGGGGACGCGGTAGCAACACGGTTATTGACGGCAACACACACACACACACACACACAGAGAACAGCCCGTGTGGCTGGCTGTTCTGTCCACCCGAACTTGCTCCAGGGGGGGAACGTGTGTGTGATCACGTGTGTGTGAGCTCCCATAATAATAATCCCCAGCACGACCCCCACACGGTGGGATTCACATGCGCCCCAGGTCGGCATGAGGACACAACGTGAGGGCCATCGGCTAAGGAAGGAGCATCCCGAGCTTTAGCCACAGCCCATGTGAACCTACACCTGCGGCCCTGATCTGTATGCGTACAGAGAGCACAGACATGTTGGAAAGGAGGACTCCTCGCGTCCGTCCGTCCGTCTGTATGTATGTACGTACGTCGATACGGACAAGCAGAAGTGGTTCCTGTCGTCGTGTGGAGAGCTGCTAAAAGCTGTACCATTGTATTAAAGGGTTTTCTGTTTACCAGCAGGGAAGAATTCCGGCAAGGGGTCTTCAGAGTCCGAAGTCATGGAACTAATGCAACTCTCCCACCACCACCAACCAGCTGGCGACGTGAGGCTCACCGACCAATAGGCAACCACAACCCGATCAAGGCGGGACGGGTACTTCAGGAAAGACTGGCTGGCTGGCTGGATCGCGGTTGCTGGTTGCTGGCTGGATCGCGGCGAGCCTAAGCTCAAAAGCCATGTATGTAGGCTACCTACACCAAACCAAAAAAACTTGCGATTATTTAAAATGGGGTCTCTGCCAACAGCCCAGGAAAAGAAACGCCAGAATAATCTTCCTGCGTTGTTGTCGTACCTGACGTGGTACGGACGGTCCGCCACCGCCACCTCCACAGTGCCGCCGCCGAAGTACGACTTTCCGGCGGCCAGCAGCGCCAGCGCATCCTTGCGCGCTACGAGAGCGCCAAGGCCCGTCGGGTAGCCAAAGATCTTGTAGTACGACAGTACGACAAAATCTGCGGGTACAACGGAGAGATCCGGCGGCGCCGTGGCGCAGGCCTTTGCCGCGTCCAGCAACACCAACCATCGTCCTCGGCTCTCTCTGCCACTGGCGGCGGCGCCGCCGCCGCCGGCATCCTCCACAGCCGACGGTTCAGAAGCAGTAACAGCAGCAGTAGCAACTGCGTCGATGCCGTACAGCTGTACATTCCGTACGGCATCCGCCAGGTGCTGCCGGTCACCTGTGAAGTTGCATTCGACGGGCAGTGCCAGCAGGTGCCGGGGGCCCGAGGGCCCGGCTGCGGCTGCCGTACCGCCGCCGCCGCCGCCGCGGAGGCCATCCGATGCGCCTCCGTCCGCAGTGATGAGGGGACCGAGGGGGGATACCACCGGAACCTGCCGGCACGCCGGCGTCAGCTTGCCTGCCGCAGAGGCTTCCGCTGTTGCGCGCCCCGCTTGGCGAAGTAGCGGCGGGCTGTCAGCCGCCGTCGCCAGCTGTCCGCTAGCTGTCGGGGCCGCCGCCGCCGTTAGTTGGACGAGCTGCACCGCCGCGCCCGCCGCCAGCGCGGGACCCCGCATGCCCAGCACACTATTGTGTACGGCAGCCGGGTGCGCTAAACAGCTGGCCCCGGCGCTCCAGGGAAAGCACTCCGCCACCTAGATTAGATAAAATTCCGGGAAATCATCAAGCCGGCAGGGAAATGCAGTGCGCAAGGGGAGACACAAAATGTGTGCATTCGACACCGCTTATGGACAAAGCTTCGCCTTAATCACGAGTTGCTATTATGAAAGTGAATCCTAAATCCATTTGAATCGATTTAGGCAAAGATCCTCACCAAGGATTTTGATGCGTCGTAGGGGTGTTTGTGATGTGATAAAACAAGTTGAGACCGAGACAGGAATTTGGAAGTGTGCGGGGGTTGTGCAACAGCATCATCTAAATTTTGCACGTCTCATCGGGCTGCGTGGGAAATACAGAAGATGTCGCGAAATAGATACATCTGGCGAGAGGGGGAAGTCGGCGGTGTTGGGCCACCAGTGGTTGCACCCACCATTTTGAGGGCAGCCGTAGCCCCGCTGGTAATGATGACCTCGTACTGCCGGCCGTCAGCGTTCAGCAGCTCCAGGGTATCCCTCCGCAGAGCCGACATCGCGTCGGCAGAAGTGGAGGCTGGAGCGCTGGGGGGTTGGAGCCACGCAAAAAGGGAGTAGGGGAGGAGTTAAGGCAAGCACGGCGCTCAGCGAGGTTGCCAGGTGGGAAGTAGGGAAGGAAAGTAAGACCCGGCAGACAGTTTGTGGTAGACTGGAAAGGGATGTGGTTTATAGAGGTTCCTGGATGCAAGAAAATGTGCATGTTTGAAAACTGATTCCTCAAGCCCCAGAAGACGCAGTACCTGTGCGGATTGCATAAGAGCGTAGTAAGGAGCTCCTCTGAACATGCCTGTATCTGACGCTCTGAGTATAGGGCTGCGCCTGCATAGTCCAAGTACACCTGACCCGCCAGTCGACGGAATTCCTCGTGGCGAACGGACTGAAGCCGACCATGGTAGCCATAACAGTCACCGAAGATGCGTAAAAACTCCTCCCTTTCGGCAATTAGGTCCTTGAACCTATCCACTAGGACGGAAAGGGTACCCGGCTGCGTTTCGTCGCACCCTTCTTTGCTCAAACCCTGCCATCCTGACACGTCTGCAGGATCAACAGGCTGACTTTGAATATTGATTGGTATAATGCCTTGGATTTGTGCGCTGGGACATGGGAGCGGTTGAAGGGTGTCTTCCTTCGCGTCTAAACTATTCTGTCCTGGCCGCGCACCTATATGAGAAAAAATACGAGCCACAGCATTCGTCAATGCTTCAATCATTTCATTGCCCAGCACCTGACAACTTCTGCCACGAGCCACGTGACCAGGGCATGAAGGAGCTAGTTCAGCATATTACCACAGTATCATGCTTGGAAAATTTATGAACCCATCATAATAATCTTGGATACCTGGAAAACGAGGCATCAAGGGCGGGGCTCCAAGATCCAACCAGAGGTCGGCAAATAAGGCGGGTACTGCGGGTCCGTACCACAGTACCCGCAGCCGAAATCCGGCTTAAGCCCCCGGCTGCGGGTCCTTAGAGACCAAAATTTTACCAAAAGATGTGATTTGCAACCTATGTTGCGGCCCGTAGGGCCGTGCGCTGAACTTGAACTCTGTTTGACTTTGCAAAAGACTGTCACGACCACCTCTAAACAATTCGGCGATGGTTCTCATTGATAATTTATCACAGGCTTAGCGACTGTACTGGTGACTTGCAGCTGCCGCAGCACGTGATTTGGTCAATTGTGGACTTTGGCATATCAGGGATTTGTTCCATCTGGGATATCCTATACATCATCTTCAGCATATTCTTAGTATTTCGGCATGTTTTCCAATTGCTGGCCGCGGCATGGCGGCAGCCTCTCGCCGGGGAATGCTCCCATCGGAGGTAAGCACCCAGGCTGAGTTGCCTTGGTCTGGGTGGCTCGCCCAGGGGTATATTCTCACTGAGAAACACCCAGGCTGAGTTGCCTTGGTCTGGTGGGTTTGCTCCTCGGGATGCTCTCGTGGAGAGAAGCACTCAGGCTGAGTAGCCCTGGTCCAATGGATTTGCCCTGGAGGATGCAGCCCCAAATAAACAGCAATGTCAGGGAGAGGGATATCCAGTAGGTGCTTGGCCGCTGCAAGGAGGCAGTCAGGGCAGCCCAGTTTCGCTGCATTACAAGGATGTTGACCGTGTCCCAACATCCCAGCTGTGGACGGTCACGGAGGTACAGGTCAGAGCCATGACACAAGGATAATGCGGGTGGTGAAACCCACGGTCATGGTCATGCTCGATCAGGCAGAAGAGCTGCTAGGAGATGTGCTGGCAAACGCAGGCCCAGGAGTGGCCAAGGAACTGCAAGAGTGCTTGACGGAGTCCCTGGTGCCACAACACCAGCGCATTGTGGCTTATATAAGCCAGAAAGTATATTATTAAAGTCGAGTCCTGAACCTGGCGTAAAAGAACGCCTTCTAAAGTCGAAATCCAAACAAACTAAGTTCCGACTTGCGCTTGCTTGCACTGTCGTCGGGTGTGCTTGCGTTGTCTGATGTTCGCGCCTTATTCCCAGCTAATCTTTGTACCAAACTACCTTAAGATTCTCTATCCTCTGCCCAGCTCCGGGATGTTTCTTCCTGCGCCGCACTTGTCGTACCGTACCGCAGGACAAGCACTTACTCAACATGTAGTCGAACCGCGTGTCTAGTCGTTGCAACGGTATGACCTGCAATTGGATCACCGCGGATGCGCGGAATCATGGCTTTGCAAGGCGTGCTAAGCTGCTAGTTGCTTGGTGCTACTATTCCGTGCCAAAAACACAAGACCAAAACATGGAGTAGCTTCAGCGCCTAGGACCCTAGATAGGATGCAACCTTGTGCAACCGGGCAATGGGAAGCCTGGCGTAACAGCGTGCCGCTACCTAAAATGTATGGGTGTAGCAAATGTGCAGCACATGACCCAACTGCGCCCAGGGAAAGGTCAGAGCGCGTAGTGGTGTTTACGCCATGGAACCACCATACGTCACTGATGGGTTTCCGTCTTGGTCGATGGAAACCCGACGTATTCCGTCCGCACGCCAGCCGGGGGCCCAGGACCCCCCACCGAACGGATGTGCCGAGTATGACGTACGGGGTACGCGGTGGAGGTTAAGCCTCACCTCTAAATGGAATGCCACGCCTACGGCTTAGCCTCTTGGGTGAAGTTAGGCCATCTCCTGGAGCAGTTCGAAAGGCGCGTAGAGATTTGTTGTAATAACAGCTTTTTTTACCTAGTTCATTCCTGGTAGGCCGCATGTGCCCCTCGCTAGTGACAGAGATCCGTTGTGGCGGGACACATGTTGCTGCTGGCCAACAATGCGGTTGGTACAGCAATTAACATATTGTCTTGTCTCAAGCAAAACCGAGCCAAATTTCGCCTCCGCTCCTCACGTATGAATCATTTGGTCGGGTGGCCAATTTCAAAACTATGAGCCAACGTATTCACGAGCTAATGTACCATGTGCTTCTTACACCCGCATTATCGCCGTGTCACTCGCGTTTGCGGTCGCAAAATCGCTGAATTGTGCCTGAACGGGCTCAAGCTCGGCAGCCCACCCACACACCAGCAGCCTGAGCCACGCAGCTGCAGAAAGTACCCTAGCACAGCTCCACATTGCGGCAAACACCGGCTCCTACACCCAGGCTAGTGACCGCTTTGGTTGTTGTTCTTCCCTTGATGTATAATATCGCCTTCTGACATGTAACTGACACGTAACTGACATGTAAATTTGATGAGCCCACCCTCGTGCCAACCATAAGTGGTGTTGCGCCTTGTGCCTGTGCAGCTCCGCAGCCAGTAGACCCCGTCCATCCAACATATCCAACGTCCACCCAACTTATGTACGGATACGTCATGTCAGTGAGAGGAATGCTAGCTGTACTTTCCCCCACATGTGGAAGGCGCACAGTGCACATGTACTGGTGGACCAGGCCGAGTGGTTCGCCGTGGCTGTAGCAGGTTGCAGCCGGCGTCAGGTGCATGAGTGCGCAGGTTCATGTGCTGATGCTCTTCCTGGACTAGAACCACACCCGGAGAGGGAACACCTGCAGATAACAGTAACAGGAGTGCAGTAGTAGCAAGTTAGTTACAAGTGCCGCACGAATGGGGGGGTGTCCGTCAAAGCCGGGAGGCCATGGACTATATACGTAATATTGAAAGTTGATTATACCGTACGACCGACGGTGGTTTTGAGGTCCCGCTACCTATACCGACTCATCCAGTCACCCGACATCCGTAGAGACAGATCAGCTATCATCACCGACGCAGCATCCGAAACTTAGTCCATCAACTAGACCTCATCTCCACACAGCAGCAGCAGCTTGTAAACCTATTTTTCCCGATTTATGTCGTGGACCTACCCAGGAATCGAACCGACAACCTTTATCAATCACAAAGGTGTCCACATACCAGCAGCAGCAGCAGCAACAGTAGTGCAGTACCAGTAGCAGTAGTAACAATATCATGAACAGTAGCAGTAGTAGTAGCAGCAGCTCATGGTGGCTCGGCGGCTAGGAAAGGACGAGGCTAGAGGCGGTTCTCTAAGCACGTGAGCCGCAGATTACTGCACACCACAAGCAGACAGCGCGCGGCGTGTGCGTGTGCGCGTGTGTAACGATCATGAGCATGTGCGGGCACGCGTGTGTGCCGAAGGAAAGTAGCTGGGTATGGTTGGCTTTCCTGCGTGCGTCACGTCGTCAACACACGCAAGTTTGTACAGTACTTGGAGAGGCACCGATTTTTTTGCAAATGAATATCTGGGTCGGCCTCGATTGGATCCACGTGGCCTCCCCTGCCCCTGCGCTTTTTCCCTGCCGTGAGCATCGGACATAAGCGGAAAGCTCATCAGCCATCTGACCGCAGCGATTGACGCATAGTAAAGAGTGCAGTATTCGATACCCTTAAGTGCATGTCTCGGTGCGAGTTCAGCTGGTGACTTTGAGGCGGTTACGATGGTTGCGGTGGGGTTTCGGTTGCCGCGCGGCGATGACCGTCGTAGTGCAGGGGCTGGCAGCAGCTAGCTCGCACTTATCTTTGCTGATATAAAGCCGGTGTGCTGCATCATTTTGTTCGGCTCCACAGGAAGCACAGCTCTGTGTTCGCTTGGGCCGGCGGGCTCGCCGGGATGCGGGGACTTCTGCTGCGGACGACTGCTGAGAGACATGGTGTCGACAGTACTTACTGCCCGACTATATCATAAAAATCCTGTCAGCGCTGTAGATCTTATGACCTGGGCTGGTTTCTTTCAGGTTTCTTCGCGCGAAGTCGAAGGATGCCGGAAGGAAGATGTCTTATGGCTTGACGAGAGACATTGATAAGGCATTCATCTTACGGTTGCCGGCATACGACAATCTTTATGACGGAATGGATTGGTGTATTGGAGGTCTATCGCAGAATGCGATGACGTGGGGCGTGTCCTTGTTTGCCCGGATTTGGACTGGATTGATTTACGCCACGACTCTAGGTTAAATTGCAAAAACATTCCATGAGTCGGTTGTAGGGCGCTTTCATCTTGTTTGCTCGCAATTGGAGGCCCGGATGCGCATGATTGGAGCGACAGATACCTGGTAGTCCTACACCTCTGCCCTACAAAAATCAGCCGGGCAATTCTAAGCAAGGAATGAGACAAAAAACAATGCAATTTATATGTCGAATGAGACTAGTACCGGCCTAGATCCGTCCTGTGCCATGAACAAGAGCTTCGCTCCGAGACCGGCCGGCTGGAGTAACATCCTGTCTTGTACCATTTATCTGCTTTAAGTCCAATTTTCTTTAGAGGCAGGCGTCTTCATAACATTGGGTTGATGGGGCTAGATGGGCGATTTCTTCTGCAAGCTTTAACTTGAAGTTTTGATGCAAAGTGATTGTTGATGAACCACTTAATCGGACCTCGTGTTCACATATATACCATGTAACGCCTTGCAGTGAAGATGACGTCCTCATGGAGGGCTTATCCATGACGTTCACGTTCAACCGTCGTGCGATGGCCATAAGCCTTAGCTGGCCAAAACTCTTTTGTTTGCTCTCTCTCTCCTTTCTGCCGGTCTTGTGCGCGGCAGCCTCGACGAAAGGGTCGAGTTTACAGCACGAGGAGAAAGTGGTGCACGATGATGACTTTGTGGTGGCCCTGGGATCGTCGACCACCCGACTCACGTTGGCGCAAAGCACGCGGTCGTACCGTGCCGGCATGCGCACGCTCATCATGACGGACAACGAAACAATGGTGCCCCATCTGAACAAGGTGTACGGCAAGTACCGCGAGGTGTACGAGTATTTTCCCGACGAGGACGTCCCGGACGTCAGGAAATGGCACGCCAAGAACCCCGGAGATTACCGCGCAGCTGTGGCGCCCTTCGCTGCGCACCGCCAATTCGGGGACAAATACAAGTGGATGCTCTATGGTGACGATGACACCGTCTTCTTCATGCCCGGGGTTCGAAAGCTTGTGGCACAATTTGACCACAACCTGCCTATCGCGCTGAGCGACAACTTGTGGCACGACTCCAGCCACCCACGCCTGGAGGCAGTTCGCTGCTTGCCCTGCGGTTTCAACACCTCCCTTCTTCGCGTCCCATCCGCCAAGAACACTACCGACGGCACCCCCGCCGCCGCCAACTACACGCCGCGTCCCGCATGTCCTTTCTGCACCCCTGTCGATGCCTGCCCGCCCTGGAAACCCGAATGCAAGGGCGGCGGCGGCGCGCACGGTGGCGCCGGCATAATCTTATCTGTGGGCCTTATGCGCAAGCTGCTGTACGACGACGCGATAGCATGCATGGAAAGCATTTTCCACTGCAGTGGCGGTGATTGCCTCGTGTCACGGTGCATCTGGAGAGCGGGGTATGGCTTTACAGATCCAGGTCTGTCACTGATGTACGACGATCCGTACGATCATATTCTATTCGACAGCCTAGCCAGTCGCTGGTTCCTCCACCACCCCATTGAGCAGATTTACCTAGGAAATTGCGTAAGCGATATCTGTTCCTACCTGGTTCGCAACGTCGTCAGCTTCCACCTGCGGGGCAAGTCCTACCCCAGCTACCCCAAGGCCGCTGCGGCCATGTACGGCCTCGTGGAGTCCCACGCCGCCGCCTTGGATTTCCTGAACGTTCTCGAAGACACGGAGAGCCGGCCGCCGCCTGTGCCGGGGTCATACGCGGCCAAGGTGGACGCAGCTGTGGAGGCATCGGTGGAGGGTGAGGGCGAGGAGGGTGAGGAGGGTGAGGGTGAGGAGCGTGAGGGTCAGGGTGAAGGTGAGATGGAGGAAGATGAGGCGGACGGGTTACAGGGATCGATCCGGAGAGAGCTTTGAGGGGCGGTCCGGAAAGAAGGGAGCATGTGTGTGAATCTATGTGTGTCTGTCTGTGTGTGTGTGTGAGAGAGAGAGAGAGAGAGAGAGAGAGGGGGAGAGAGAGGGGGAGAGAGAGGGAGGGGAAGAACTTTGAAACTGCTTACGTTGGGTGTTCTAAACAACCCCTTTACGGACCAAGTGGCCCTTGAAGGCTCTGGTGCCACTGGGCCTTGGTGGCTGACTTGCGATGCGATATATGTATGGTGTCATGGCACTCAGCTGGTACGGCAACCTGCCGTGAGGTCCATTGGGCAATGCGCACTGCAGGGTTTTTGGTGACTAGTGTACTACTTGCTGCACAGATCTGTCCTCTTGGTTAATCCTTGATGTGGTTCATCATAAGCTGCGCACTGACCACCTTACCCCAGTTGGTAGGTGTACCCCAGTGGGTAGTGTTCCCATCATAGTTTCAGCTGCAGCTGCACCCTGGGCATGGGCCCAATGGCATTGACAGTGCACACCACCTTGCCGGGTAGCCTCCATGCGTGTAACTCCCTCGGCACGTGGCGCTGCCAGCCGCCACGCCTACAGCCCCGCCAGCCAGCCAGCATCTTCAATGGTTGGTGCTACTAGGTAGTGCATTACTTGTCAGACACTGGTGAGAAACTTGACACATCAATGCCCATCATTACAAGCTGCCCGCTTGCTCGGACGTACAACGGTAATATATATACATATATTATCCCAAAACGAACCGTTTGTGGTACACCTACCTGCCTTTCAGCAATACTTACAGCAACCTTATTGAATTGCCGTGACGTAAGATGTCCCTTTCCGGGCAGGCGAGTGACTGTACATGTGTGCACGTAAAGGGACGCCATTGCGTCGAAGGATCGCATGTGTGTCTGTTGCAGCTTCTGGAGTTGCGTTTTACTCTCCAAAGGCGTAACCCCTAAGGGGGACCCCATAGGAGCCACAGAGGCCCAAGGGCCCCAGTCTAGGGCTGCCCTAAAGGGACAAAACGCAAAAAGAAATGTAAAGACTGATATCCTATCACTCAACGCGAGAAAAGAGAAAAGAAACTACATTTCATAAAGCGAAAGGCAACGAAACCTGAGTGCATACAACATGATTGCAGAGCCTAATAGTGTACAGAAGCATGTTGCACCACCCCTGCTGTACCAACCATGCCACAGACATACAGATGAACCGCAGTTGTACCCAACGAGTCCCCAGGTGGTGAATGCACCAAAGCCACCGCAACAGACACCGATATTATCAGTGTATGACCCTACCGTCCACCCGTCCCACACTCCCTGCCATCTGCCATGTCTACCTCATGGCCACAGTGGGCCGTATACGAGCACCATACTGTAGTAATGTTAGCCACTCAAGCTGCCGTTACAGGACACTATTCGCCTCATCAGCTCAGACTGCACGACGCGGCTGGATGGAGCTGTACCACGACCCCTTGAGCAATGGAGCGCTTGTGTGCAGCGGTGCCGCCCCCTGCTGCTGCATGCAGTTAATTTTTATTGCTCGCTGAACCATCAAGAGAGTGTACACGAACCCTTGGGAATCAACCTTTAAGGCGTGGTGCAAATTTGGAAGAGACGCTGTACCTGCCGACCAGTCCCGTGACTGTGGGGATGTTTTTGACGACCGTAGCCAAAAATGCAATGAGTTATATCGCGGTAAAGTTAACCAGCATGGCCATTTTCGCACAACGTGATTTGGCGTGTGAAACAGAGACCCCTTACTGAACACCTACCGAATACCTCTGCAAGGCGGGACGGCAGCCAAGGGCTCCCTGGGAACGACCGTATGCAGGGTAAGGAGCCCCTGCCCCTTCAGGCAGTGATAGCGGTAGTTCAACTTTTGGCGTACAAAGGGCCCCTGGTGTGCCAGGGCATATGCTCGCTGCATATACGGAGTTGTATTTCGCTGCCTTCCCGTATCATAGATAACGCGGCGGGCCTGTTGTTTTGCGATGTGCAGTTCCATGAGCAGAGTGCGGCGATTTTCCTTGCCAAGCGCAAGAATGATCAGAATGATCCTGCCCTGTGACCCTCCTAGAGCGGTATCCGCACCTAACTGGCCTGAAGAGGACACAGCCGCTGTTCCAGGGTTTGGATGGCCAGGTGGCTCAGAGCGGGAAGGCAGCGTTTTTTGGAAGCGCATGCTATCATTATCACAGGCATGATACAGTGTGCTGACCGTGGTGGTGAAGGTCCATTGGGCATTAGCTACACGCAAGCGCAATCAGTGCTCAGGCTGGACAGCCTCGGGAGGCACGACTGTGACAGCGGGGCAGGGTGTCCGCAAGCGCCCGCTTTTGGCGGAGGCACGTCTGGGCTGCATAACGTGTCGTACGGCTGTGTGGCTGATGTCCAACCGCTGAATACACTACCGTTACAGGTGGACGAGCGAGATCACACCGCAAGTGCCGTGCCGTACACCTACACTCTCGTCCTACAGCCATGCATAAACCCAGCAGCATACATACATACGTATCGCTCTGTGGCTTATTTCTTTAGTCGCCGGCACAGCCCGGGCCCGCTCGTTGCCCCACTAAGGCAGTTTCCTTCCGGAGCCGATTCTCAGACCGCAGCCGAAACAGAATCCGAACTCCAAAAGGAAGGCGGAGTATGACCCTCATGCTCACGACGTGCAAAGGCTATGCGGAGGTGGGTGGGAGGGACAAAACATGCGCAGGGAGCCTGTGACATACACAGTGACCTACCTGCCAAACGGACTCTTAACAATCAGGCCAACCAAGTCGCCAACCGCTTGCCCCGGGCCCTAACTAACAACTTCGGCAGCCCTTTCCAGTGCCCCCTAAGTGCCCTTTCCCCACAAAACCCCGCTCAGCACCTTCCGGTGCGCCCGCATGTGCCCCACAGCCCCCCGGGCCCCAGTAGCTGCGGAACCCAAACTGGCCTTTGTACCCACCCCACCCCTAGCACCCACTCGCCGTGGACAAGCTCAATATGCATTATACCGGGTCATCTGCCAAATTGGAAAATCAGGCGCCCCGCTCTACACCACGCTAATCCACCTACCTTCAAAAGCCACACGAACCATGCTTCTGCACTATGATATATATGCCCCAACAACACACCACATCACGCCAGGTATGCCGACACACACACACACACTCTCCAGCCCTCCAGCATATAACCTCCAACGCGGAGACAAGGGAGACACCGCCGCACTTGCCCTCTCCACAATGGACGACAGCAACCATAACAACACAAGGACATGGACTATTATTACACGTGGCCGCCGGACCTATGACCCCTCATGGAAACGCACAAGGCACACACGCCCCCTCGGCATACAGGGAAGGGCGGGGCCCGCCCTGGCGGCTCCGAAACTGCAGAGGCTCTACCAATCATGAAAAATCATGACATCGCAAAAAGAGTCAAGGCAACTGCAGAACCGATCCATGGCCATACCTGGCCATTTCTCTCCTTGCCCTCCCCCCACCTGCCCCGCTCCCAACACCACTCCACGCCACACCACTCCACACCGCACCGCACAACGCAACACCACACCTATCTTCCCACGCCATGCAACCGTCGGACCCTCCTCTCCCTTCACTTCCAACCCCCGCCCTGACGCTGCCTGGAGCCCCTGGACAAAACACAAACACAGTGGGGGGCAGGGAGGGGTGTATTCTGTATTCTGACACGCGCGGGCGGCCGCGCGGCGCTCCCCTGCCAACAGACCTTGCGGACAAGCCTAACAGGAAGACGTATCGTGCTCGTAGCCAACCGTAACTGCTCATCTAACCAACCCAACAAGAAACAGCCAACCGAACAATTTGAGACAGTGGGGAGTCAACCAGCAGTCGCCCTCGGCGCCTCGTCATCACAGAGCGATGTGTACGGACATCCTTGCAGGAAAGCTTTCCGGATTTCTCCGGCCCCACGTTTTCCAGACTGCTATCAGGTTTTCAAGTTGTTGGGATTTTTGGGGTCCATTCCCAATTAGCCTCCAGTCCGTGATAATTGCCAAAAGCAAGGCTGCTGAAACATGGTATACGTACGTACATACATACATATATATACATATATACATACATACATACATACACGCGACGTGCACCAGCATTGGAAACCCCACAAAAGGCCCCGGTCCGCGTAGTCCTGCGTGAAGAGCGCCTTTCTTCATATATACACACACATACATACATACTCCTCTCTTCCCCCATTCCAACACAGGCTTCACAGCCTACCAGGACATACATACATGCCCACGTGACACACCGATCTCCTAGCCCACCAACCCCGCTGCCGAACCTATACCCACCAACAACGACGACAAGGACACAATGGCCCCCGCAATGGCCCTAAGCACTATGACGTCACGTGAACATTCCAGTACCGATATACACCCCCCACCACCATCGCTTCTGCCGCGCGTGTGCGTGTGTATTGTATGTATGTATGTTTGTATTTATGTTTGCCGACATCCCAGGTGCGCTGTGCGACATCCCCACATCGCACGGGGGGATTTGAGGGGGAGGAGAGGCACCCGGGGGTGTTGGTTGTACGGCAGTGAGGTGCGCAGTACAGTCACAAGCGGCGGCCCACCCATATAGCATGTCGCAATACTTGCGTCGTGCTCATGCCTCTATTTGTTTGCAGATGTGTTCATGTGTGTATGTGTGTGTGTTTATGTGTATGTGTGTGCCGATATGCAAAGAGTGGCAGGCGGCAGAGAAGAGGCTACCAAGCCAACCCAGGCCAGCCCAGGAGGGCGGCGAACAAGCACCTGGAGCCGCGAAATAATGCAAAAGGAAAAGGAGCCTCCGGGTACCCTGAAATCCCTCCGGACTCGCCCCTTTCATCTCTTTCTCTCCCCCCTCCTTCGCAAAGCCGCCCGGGAAGCAATCCCTCGCCCCCTAGAGGCCCCCTTCCTACCTACCTTCCTCCCTTCCCTTTTCTTTTCCAGCCCCTATCTAAGCTCCTCAGCCTGAGCCCGGGCCATACAACGGCCATACAACTATAACCGGCAGTAGAGGTGGTGGCGCAATCTGCTGCGCGCACGACATCCTTGCATCCGGCCTCCGACCCCCCATCCCACCCCAACCCATCAACACTGCCAAACCGTATGCACCAAACCACCACCAACAATCTGCCTTGGAAATGCTCCCGAGGACGTGGGCTCCCTCCAAGCGAATAAATTCGGAATATTAGCTCTACCATCCTGACAGACAGACAGACAGACAGGCGGAGACAGACAGAACAGACAGACGGACAGACAAGCATCCAGACACCCGGCAGGCAGCCGTAAAGAAATACACACCCAGGGAGGTGAGAGGGAGGCACACGCTTGCAGACAAACATACAGACAACCGATACGGAATTGTACGGCGACTTCTCCTAATGTTTTTTGCCAGAACCGACACAATACGTATTCTCCTGCGTATATAGTTCATATGTCGGTATGTATACGTATGCAGCATTTAGTAAAAGAGGTCTAAATTATGACGCAACACTTACGATAAACGCACACGCAAATGCAGTACATGGACAAACAGACGAACAGACAGATAAACACACGTGCGCGGCTGTATCTAAAGTTCTTTTGCCGACTTGCGAAACACGTCATTACTATACATCTTCCCCTCCGCGCCTCTTCGCACGTCTTCACCTCCTCCTGCACCACCCCCCCAGCATGCAACACCCCAAAGCGACCCACACCACCCAATATGTACATACATACGTGCGTACATATGTACATGCATACATACATACATACCACTGTTTATAATGTTTCGCGCGAGCGCACACAATAGCAAATGCTGGCACCCGCACCAGCAGCCCGCAATTCGTTATACGTTACGTAATCCGTTCTTATTCTGTTTGTGATCCATGTGATGTAATAACTTGCGCACCCCAACAACCCCAACCAATCCCGACAGCCCCTGCAACAATGCACTCGCAGCACAAGGCCGCATGCCGCTCCAACTCGTCTCCAACATCCATCATCAACAAGCCTCTGCCACCGCCGGCGGACTGCCAGCGGACACCGGAGCCCCCCCACCCGCCCCTAGCGGGCCCCCGGCCGGCGGCGACGTGACCGGAGCTCTCCCCAGGGGGGACAGTGTCACCGGCAGCCCCCCTGCCTGCACTGAACCCCCGTTGAGCGATCCCCGGGCTCGAGGCATCGCCGGCATGGGCTTCTCAACCACCACCCCCAGCGCCGCCGCCGCCGTCGTCGTGGCCGTCGGGGCCGCCGGCCCGCGGTCCGATGCAGGTCCCGCTGTAGCCGCAGTTGCCGGCGCTGCTGCCGCCGCCGGCGCCGGCGCCGCCGGCGGCTTGGGCTTCAGTGGCGGTATCGCCGGAAGCTGCGTGTTCATGATCTGCAGCAGGTTCTCCAGGGCTGATACGATTTCCGAGGCGGTTGGTCGTTCGTTGGGATCCTGACTCCAGCATTGCCGAGCCAGAGCGCTGCGAGGTTGCGACAAGGGGTGGGAGAGGCGCATGTACAATTGGTCTAATGAAGAGAGAGCAGTGGGTGGGTTTGGATGCGCGAGTGCACGTGTAGTAGTGGGTGGTAGTGGGTGAAGCAAGCTCATGGAAATGGAAATGGTTAAGGTTAAACCTGTCCTGCTTCGATATCGGAGGAATGAGCGGCGGGCGGAATGCGCCAGATAAGAGGAAGTGATTTGTGTGTGTGTGTGTCTGTGTGTGGGTGTGGATGTGTGGGGGTGTCTGTGTGTGGGTGTCTGTGTGTGTGTGTGGGTGGGTGGGTGGGTGTGTGGGTGGGTGTGGGTGTGTGGGTGTCTGTGTGTGGGTGTGGGTGTGGGTGTCTGTGTGTGTGTGATGGCCCTCCCACATGCCGCACTCTCCCCTCCCCCCCCCACACACACTCCCCAACTCTCTCCATGTTACCTATCCCCACCCACCCACCCACAGACATGCATGCCCGTTACCCACGACTACTGCCACCCTTCCCGGCCCCCCCGACACACTCACACACATACAGACACACACTCACCCAAACGACCGGGGGGTGTCCGGCGGGAAGGTGGGCCGCAGACCCTTCAGTGTCACACGCTGCGCTATCTGGTCCTCAGGCACGTCCGAGTACGGCCGGGCGCACGTGTACAGCTCCCACATTAGGATGCCGAAGGAAAAGGTACTACGAGGGGGAAAACACACACACATACACACACGCACACACACGGGGGGGTTACATGTTGAGGTGGGTTGGGGTACGCAGCGAGGAGGGAGGGAGGGAAGGGACAGCAGGGCGCCAGGGTGAATGTACGGAACCACCGTCTCAATCAACGGTTAATAACGACCGCTAACGATTGAAAGAGGGGGAACTGGTCCACCAACCAACCAGCCAACCGAATCGGATATACGGCAGCACCCACGCGCTTCCCCCGGGCCCCCACGTCCCCCTTTCCCCCTCCCTCCTCACCCCTGTTGACGGGAAGGACGGCTCTCCAGATCTCACCAGCCTCCCCCAAAACCCCACACTTCCATTGCCCCATCCCCCCCCATGAATGAATGAACAACAGGCTCTATGCGACGTCATCCCCCCCAGCCGCTTCCAAGCTAAAGTTAGGGTTTCATCAGTATACCGTCCACACCCACAACCACACCGCAGCTCCTACCCGCGGCTCGGATCATAGTAACACAGTCAAGGTCGACATCATTGATCTCGACACTACACCCGCCACTACACCCCAACATAGCTGGCTGGTGAAATGTACGGCACTCACTCTACGGAGAAGTCCAGTGGCTGGCCCTTGATGAATGTCTCCTGCGAGAAGGGGAGAGGGGGGGAAGGGGAGGGGAGATGCAGGGTTTTGCAGGTCGCGCAACAAACCCCTTCCCCGTACAGAAAAGAATACACAAATCCGGCGGGGGTGAGGGAGGAAATCATTCATGGAGAAAAGGATCCAACCCGGCATTCAAATCGCCAATGACCGCCAACTACCAGCTGCCGTATCGGGCGGCCCGAAACAACCCCGTACAACCGTACGGCAAACGGACAAACTCACCGGCGCCATGTGCGTCACCGTACCGCACGCCTCTTCCGGCAGGATGATCGGCCGGCCGCCCGGTGTCGCAGCTTTGAGTACGGAAACGTACCCGAAGTCCGCCAGCTGAGTGGGCACGCGAGGGAGCGAGTGTGAGTGTGAGCGAAGAAGTGAGCGAATGAGTGAGTGAGTGTGTGGGGAGGGGGAGGGGAGAAAGAGACATGAAAGGTGATGATAACGGTGGTTTGGGAATGAGGGCGGTACCAATATCGGGGGGTTCACGTGGGACGGTAAGAAACGCAGACTGCGCTGCATCCCCCCCACCCCACCCCACCCCACCCCATCCAAACCCCGCACCCCAGAGGAACCTCATCCCGCCTCGTACCACATCCTCACACACACACGTCCTTCCCTCCTCCCACACAACTACCCCCCCCTCACATACACACATCTCCCCTCCACCCCCGGGACCCCCACCCCCACATCCCCCCACCTTGCATGTGAAGCCGCGGCTATCCCTCCGGGAGCTCTTCAGCAGCACATTCGCCGGCTTGAGGTCTGAATAACCGGGTGTGTGTGTTGGTGTGTGTGTGGGAGGGGGGTTGGTGAGGGGGTTAGGAAACGGGAAAAGGCAGACGGGGGTTTCGAATACGGACCGCGCAAGGGCTTTCCTTTGGGTGCGGGGTGTTCACTTACACGGGTCGGGGGCCCTTCCCCCCCCCCACCCCCAAACCCCCCCCACACACATACATACACACATACACACACACACACTCCCTTTCACCCCCGCCAGCGGCCCTCTCCCACGCACCGCAGTGCGCCAGGTTCCTTGCGTGCAGGTGCCTCAGCGCCAGTGCCACCTCGAGCAGGGAGGTGCATATGGCCTTGAGGGCGGGCCGCCGAGCACCCAGCGGCGACACCGTCAGGAAGCGGTGCTGGTCGATGGCGTGAGCCAACGTGCCCTGTACGGAGGAAAACACAGTTGGCCCTGGAAGTGTCGGTAGGTAGTGTTGGTGTGGTTTGTAGGTTGCGGGGTAAAATACCACATATGCAAGGGTATGTGTGTGTGTGTATTAGGGCGCGAGGGTGTTCAGGAAGCCACACGCCCTCACCCAGGCGGGGGGGAGGGGGAGGGGGAGGGGGAAAAGGCCGGGGGCGGCCGGGCGGGGGTGAGGAGGTCGAGGTGGCGGGGGAGGTGAAGACGAGCTGGGAATGGCGATAAACGGGATGGTCTGTATGCCTGTATGTCTGTATGCACGTATGTGAGGCGAGGGTGGAAATGCTGTTTGGGTCCCTCCTCTCAACCACCACATACATACATACATACACACACACACCATATCGCAGTATTCCATACACAGTGCCGAGCAGGGTATTCCCTCCTCCCCGCGGTTGAGTGCGGTGGTGGCGGACAGCTCCAGCAGCTGCACCCCCGAGGTCCCGGGCTTGGGGGGCCGCTGCTTCACCAGCACCATGTTGGTGTACAGGCTGTAGACCTGGCGAGGGGAGGGGAGAGGGGGGAGGGGGGGGACGGGGGAGGGGGGAAAGGGGGAATCATAAATCATGATACTGGTTTGGTTGTGTGTGTGTGTGTGTGTGTGTAGAAAAGCGGTTCTCAAAATTGAACGGAGGCGGTGCGGCGTAGGTTTTCGCTTTGGCCCGGGTTGTGCTCGGAGGCAGGGATGGATGACTGGCTGGCTGGACGGATGTGCGAGCAAGTTCTTCTCCCACAAATTGTACACCGCACTGCAGTACAATTCCAAAGCGATGCCCCCTGGGCCCCCCTGGCCCCCGGGGAACCCCCCACAAAATACCCCTCTCCCCCACGCGCCCTTCTCCCCCCCACACACACACACCTGGATGATGTGGGGGTGGCTCAGACTGGCAGTCACGGCCAGCTCCAGGGCGCTGCGCTGGAGGACACGGCGGTCGCTGACGGCAGGCCAGGCAGACTGCTTGCCGTCGGCAGCGCCGGCGGAGCCGCTGCCGCCGCCACCGCCGCCACCGGCGGTAGCGGCCAGCCCAGCGGCGGCTCCCGCACCCGCGTTCGTCGAGTTGTGTTGTGGAAGACCTGTACGGGGGTATACAGCCGCCGCCGCCGCCCCGCCACAGAAATCACGGCAGGATGTCCGCGGGCGGTGCAGAGGGTTGAGTGTGTGTGTATGTGTGGCGGAGGGGGAGGTTCCGTTGGGGGTTAAGGCGCAGAGGAGCCGGGAGCCAGATGACAGAGGGAAGGAGGACCCATACATGCCTTCTCCATAGCCGTGGCCAGCGTAGGTCCCTTCCCTAGTAAACCCCATCTCCCCCTTTGCTCTTCTTTAGCCCCTTCCCCCCTCCCCTTCTGGA